GTAGCGGTGATAATAACGATAGTGGTTGACAGTGATGGTGATTGTGACTATGACAACTGTGTGGTTTGTTAGAAGACCAAATTCACCTTTAAACGTCTTAATGTTAACGAAAATAAATGAGGCTTTTAAGTCAAATCAGTTACTTGTTCTTTAGCATGTATACCATTATTCTTAGTGCCTAGTATGGTTAGTGGAAGTTGGTCCTAGTTTTATGCTTAGTAGGTGTGTTGTGTTAGTAGCCACGTATGATCTAAGTAGAAGGTATATATTGTATGCATATATATAAAAGCCCTACCTTGAATGTAACTGCCAAGTTAATTCATTAGCTCTGCTTCTACATATATATCTATATCAATCTACATCTATCTTTCTATATCTATACTATCTTAAAAGTGTAAACTTCCTGATTTAAATGTTACATTACGATAATACTCTCAATAAAAAGTAGATACATTTTGACATTTGAAGGATTGTAACTTTTTTAATGAGTTGTAACTTTCTAAAGGGTTGTGACTCTTCTGATAAGGTACAACAAACACATGTTCATATTATACTCTTTGTTGACTATATATAAAGATTTCCTCTCATTTTTAAACTACATTTTTTTATAAGTTTTCTACTCTTCTCTTTCTTAAAAACCTTAAGTGTGATTTGCAGTCGTTGAGTTGTTTAAAGTTGAGAGGGAATTTGAAGTACGCTTGTGTTTGTTCATGATTAAATTTGAGTGTGCATCAATTTTTCTGTATAGGAGACCTTTGTGAGGAACTTTCACAAATTATTTTCAATTATTCTTTGTATTGTGAAAGAATATTTTGATGCTCTCTCTAATAACTTAAACTTTTAGATAAGATTGTCACACACTTCAACATGGTATCAGAGCAGAGCAGGCAGATATTCTAAAATTGAAAACTTATAATATATCATATTTATTTGTTGTTAAATATAATATAGTGACAATTATATTATTGCCACTAAACAATTGCCGCAAAATCCTTTATTTGTTGTAGTAATCCGTTCGGATTACACCCTACATTTTCTACATTTAAGCTTACATCACCAAGTAAATTAATTTTTTGGCTGACACGCAAATAGAATTGGAAAGAAAGGTACGTAAATTATTGTTTTAATTAGATGATCTTATGTCAAGTATCTATCAGGCCAAAATATGAGCTCAGAGATTTCAGTAGAACAATTCATGATACTTCTAATTACAAGGGAACTAAAAATATATAAATTGAAAAGTTCCAATGTAAGCGCTAGTGATATGATTTAACGATTATATATGAAGATTCAAAAAATATTACAACTTGAATACATAAAAAAAGATTAATCCTATGAGCTATGAAGAGAAAAAATAAATATCGTAATTGGTCGGTGGCTTCCTATAAATAGCTTATAAAATAGTTGTCAACCATATTTACTATGGACTTAATAATTATTTTGCCCGTATTTTTCTGTTCCCAATTTTGGTCATTTCATTCGTCTTATGCCGGAAACGCCTGATGGCGGAGGCGATTGTGACGGTTGTTGCGGTTGTGGAGATTAATTTGAATTGATTTATAGTTTTGAAAAAAACGATTCAGACGTCTTCATCTTAATGAAAAACAAATAAGGCCTTAAGTGTACAGTATTGGCCTTCCCCTCTTTTCTTGATTTGTTATTCTCTTTTGCTCTTTTAGGAGATAGGAGGAGTAAAATTGAGTTTATTGGTGATTTTTTTTTTCTTTGGGGAGGTAAGATTGATCTCCATGCAATATGTTGCACGATTTATTAAAGTTGACATTGTACAACATGATTATTCACGTGAGATGATCGAGTATATGCGTGGATATGTATATTTTGTGTTCTCTTTTTGGGATATACATTATGTCAGTTTCACCATACGATTATAATTTGTTATGCTTTTTACTACATAACTAATGGGATATTACCACTCAACATATACATCAGGATATAGTGATACGCCCCGCTTCCATCACACAATTTCTAACAACTTTATTGTACTACAATAACAACATATTCAGTGTAATTTTAAAAGTAGAATTTTGAAATCTTTAAGTTTTTTTTTGAAAGAAAATTTACATATTTGAAAACTATGTAAAAAGTACGGTATGTTATAAGAATTGATAATTCAAAATATTTGAACATTATATTAAAAAATTACACTTAAAAAAAGATTTATTTAACTTTAGAAATCTGAAATTAGGTGCCACATAAGTATGTTGTAAATTATGATTTATGCCTTGAACACGAAAATATCGAACAACTCTTTTGCGACATATATAAATTTATGTGAGAATATTTTTTGTCCAAAAAATTCAAGGTTACTCTCTTTAGGATTTGAAAGAAAGATACTTAAATTATAGATTTAATTAGATGATCTTATGTCAAGTATATCTATACTAGGCCAAACATGAGCTCAGATTCAGTAGAATAATTCATTGATACCCTGAATGAAAAATTCCAAAGTTATCCTATGGTCTATGAAGAGGAAAAAATAATATCGTATTTGGTCGATGCCATCCTATAAATAGCCCCTAAAATAGTTGTGTGTCAAGCAAACATTTTCTTTTTTGGAATTTCAGGATAACATGTTGTTGCTATAGCCTCTGCCATAACATATCTGTCCTTTGACTCTGTGCTGAGCACTTTCTGTGGGTAAATTCCTACTGTGTAATAACCTGTAGTACGATAGGCTCGACTCAAATGTCACCCCTCCAAACTAACTGAGTCATCCCGAAGGTCGAAGGACAAGCAAGCATATTTACAATGGATTATATGCCGATGATTGTGGGCATACTCTCCATTTTTCTGACAATAATTATGACGATTTTGTGCGCCATATGCGTCATATGCCTCAACGCACGCAAGCAGATCAAGGAAAAAAGAGTAGGCGTTGTGGAAATAGGTTGTGGAACCGATGGACTTAGAACTGCGTTAGTGATTTGTTTGTCCGGTGCCGGAGGAGCTGCTGTCGCAGACGGTACAGTGGTAGAGACAGTAGTTGGTAGCGCTGATACGGTTAAGGAGGGTTGTTGTTTCGGTGGTGGCGCTGATGGCGGAGGTGGTTGTGGTGGATGCGGAGGTGGTTGACTTAAGTTTCTAAATAACTTATGCATAATTAGACATAAGTTCGATGGTTAAAGGACAAACACGTGTAATTTTATGTGTCTATTGAGTTGCCGATTACACATGTTACACAAACACCTATTGTTGGTCCATGTATGTTTATCCTCCTTGAAGTAAAAAGTAAATCTCACAACTCAAATCCTAGAGTATTTGCACATCTCTAAGAATGAGTCTTCCATCTCTAATATCCTAAAAATGTAACATTTGTATATAATCTAAACACATACCGTGGGAAGTGAGGATGAAGATGAGGTATGTTGGAGAATGTGAATGACATAATCAATGTGGAATGTTACTCGTAGAGCATATTTTTTTGTTTGTAGAAAATCATTTTCTTCATTTTTAAGCAACTTGTTTCCTCCGTAACGATTACACCCTACTTTTTCTTCATTTAGACTTCCATCACAAATTAGCTTAATTGTTCGGGTGACACGCAAATCGAAATGGAAAGAAAGGTACTAAAATTTATAGATTAATTATATGATGTTAAGTCAAAAGCATATTCCACCGGACCAAAAAAGAGCTCAGAGATATCAGTAGAACAATTGATGACACTCCTATAGTTGAAAGGAACAAAAAATATAGTATAAAATGAAAAGTTCCAAAGTAAGCGATAGTGATTTGATTTAAGGATTACATATGAAGAGCCAAAAAAATATTACAACTTGAGTACATTAAAAAATAATCCTATGAATAATAAGGAAAAAATAATTTCGTAATTGATCGATGACTTGCTATAAATAGCCTCTTATTAAAGTAGTTATCATATTTACTGTGGACATAGCTATTTTTGCGATCATATTCTGCATTTTTGTGATGCCCATTTTGATCATTTTGTGCGCCATATGGCGCTACAAACGCCAGAAGGATGAGGATAAAGGACGAGCTGATGTGGAAATGGCCGCGGGTAGTGGGGCCCGCGGCGGATTGAGAGACAGGGATATGATTGGCTTGGCCGAGGCCGGACGAGCTGTTCTAGAAGGTGGCGCAACCATAGCTATAGTGGTTTTGTAGTGATGGTAGCGATGATGGTGGTGACTTAACGGTCGTGGAGATTAATTTTAATTATATTGTACTCTCTTTTTTTTATTTAATTTTTTTTTTTAGCGTTCGATATTCATGTTAAAAACTCGATCGATTGTGAATTAATGTGTATTTAGAGAACTTTTATCTCACTTGATATACGTTCTGTGATAGTGTGTTGTTATGCCATTTGGGGCCACATGTTCTTTATCATTTTTAGAGAAAAAAAATTGGTGTAAATTTGAAAACTCAAAAAATTAAGGTTGAAAAATTCGAGTTATATTAGTTTCGTTTGATTTCTAAATTTAAAGAATTCGACGATTTGATATTTGAAAATTTTGAACCAATTCGATCATGTATATCCCTAGTTATGGCGTGGGTGTTTGCTCGATGTAAATCTAAATATTAGGTTGTATAGAGGTTTTCATTTTGGATTAATTCATTACACATACATGTTAACACGCAATCTTGACTAACAAATTTAAAGTAAACAAGTTCGTTCTCTTAAACAAGGGACTACTATATTAGACGTGGATATAGATTGCAACTTATGCATAAAACATTACTCCTAGACCCTAGTAACTAATATATTTATATCCAACATTGTTAATGTTCATCTTTTTGTCCATTAATTAAAATAATACGATACTATCAAATACATTTATTTTAATTTCAATTTTTTTCAAAATAATGTATTATTTTGATGGAGTGATTTAGATAACGACTTACCAAATCCTAGTTATTAATTCAAGTCCAGTAAGTTAAACCAATTTTGATGGACTTTTTAGGTGCATAACACCTTCCCTTTAATTCGTGTCCATAATTTGAAATGTGAGTGTTAATTGAACCAGGCGGCCCATTTTCTCCGACCCGACCCGATAGAGCAGCTAAACGAAGAGGGTCTGTCTCACTTTTGGGTGAAAATGGCAGCATCATTCAGATGGGTACTACAGCTACACAAGGATGTACCAAAAGCAGCAAGATTTTACTCAGAGGGTTTGGATTTCTCCATTAATGTATGTACTCATAGATGGGCTGAGCTCCAATCAGGGCCTCTCAAACTTGCCCTCATGCATTCATCAAGGTACTTTTCTCTCTTTTGGTAAATTTCTTGAATCATCATCTAAACAGTTGATTGTGGATCAAGATGTGTTAAAGTTCACATTTTGGGTTCTGGGGTTTGGTAGTTTGGTCTGCTTATATTTGAAATTTGGTTCTTTTTTTAGATTTTCAAGATTTTTGCTTATTAAATATGTTTCCTTCCCTTGCCTATATTGTTCTTGAATATTCATCTAAAATGTTATGGTTCAGAAAGATGTGTTGAAGTTCTTAATTTGGGTTTTGGTGCAGGGTAGTTTAATGTGTTTGGATTTTAAAAGTTAGTGGCGTTTACGAATTTCAGGATCTTTTAGTGTTTCTCTCCTAACAAGCAGTTGATTGACGAATGACGAGAGAGTTGCTCGGATGGTAAGCATCCCTCACTTCCAACTCGAATGTTGTAAGTTCGAGTCACCAAAGGGAGTATAAAGTGTGGGAGTTCCTAGGGAGGAAAAAAAAAGCAGTTGATTGATGATAAACATGTGATAATGTCTTCGTTTTGGGTTGTGTTGATTTAGTGTCCTATATTGAGAGAGTGGTTTTCGAGAATTATAATTTGCATTTCTCCTCATATCAAAATGGTAAAAATATATACATTTTAAAATTTGGTCAAAAGCTCTCTTAGTTTGAATTGGAATGGACAGTTCATTGCTAAGAGTTGAATGCAGCTTTGGGAAGCAGTTTTTATATGCGTATTTTGGAGTATTTGGCGTAAGAGAAATTGTAGATGTTTTGGTGGGAATAAAGAACATATGTCTCAAGAGTCTTTTCTGAGCTTATGTACATCTTCAACCTATAGAAGGAACAAAACTTCGTTAAGCTACTATAGTGTACCTCCCTGGAACATATTAAATTAAAAAATGGCAAACTTCGTGGGACATCAGGAGTATTTGATCCTTCCCTTGTAAGCTAATAATTTTGCCAGTGGCTTGCCTTTTAATATCATTGGTTAATATACTTTAAGAAAACTGAATTATTCCCATAGTTAGAGTAAATTGGATTTGAGAAAATCCTCTTTTTTATTTTACATCATAGTGAGTTACATGTGCTATGCTAGTTTTAGATCAAGGAATAACATATGAACAATTCTGGCATGAAATTTGTTTGTGAGGAGGAATAATATGCTGGTCTTTTGTTGAGGAATTACAAATTGGGCAGCTCTGGCAGGACAAAGTTTATAGGCGTTGTAGACAGTGATGCAAAGCAGCTCACTCAAGCTCCTTTAAGAGTATCTGATATTAAGCTGGATACTTGTGGACTATCAAACAGAAGATACATCTTGGATCAGATTCTTGAGCTGTAATGAGTGTTCAGAAAGTCTAGGAAAATGTATATTTTAACCACATCCATACGAGCTGAAGTGTTGGAACATTTTAGCCCTTTTAGTGCAACTATGAGCCATCTAGTATATGTACTAAGGCCGGTTCAGTGCATACAGGGATGATTTGTTGTTTGAAAGACTTTGTACTTGTCAAGATAAGGTCGAGTTGTTGTAAACCTTAACTGTTACTGCATCACCTTCACAGTCCTAGATATGCTGCTTAGTCTAGAGTTCTGTTTTGTTTGCTTTCGGATATATGGTAAGCCTAGCTTGATATCCTTCGCTTACTATATTCTGTGGTTTGTATTTAGCTGCATTTTTTGTCGTTGCTTGATTTAATAGCCTTCCCAATGTTGCGTGCAGTTGCTTCAAGTTTTAGTCTGCATCTCAATTAGGCATAAACTATGACAATTGTCTGTCTTTGCCTACTGATTATTTCATATCAATTGGTCACTTGTTTCTGTTTGTGATTCTGTTTTTTTTTTTTTGTTGTTGTTATTGAGCGTCATACAACTGGTTAGCTGCTAACTTTTGTTTGACAGTGACATTGTTGTGCAGAAGGGATACTCATCCCTCCTATCCTTTACAGTTGATGATATAAACAATTCAGTGACCAAACTATTGGCTTTAGGTGCCGAGTTGGATGGCCCCATCAAATATGAAATCCATGGAAAGGTAACCAAAATTTCTTAAGGTTGCTTTCAAAATTGTTGACTGGCATTGGTTTATGCTCATTATTTACACATCGATTCAGAATTTTGTTCTGCATTCAGCATTTATGTTGATGAAACTGACCTATCGCATACTGTATATGGTCCTTGTAGGTTGCCGCTTTGAGGTGTGTGGATGGACATATGTTAGGACTTTATCAGCCGTCCTAGGCATCGTCGAAACAACCACTTGCAGGTAAAAGAAATCGCGACTTCTGTAACAAGCTAAATTGGTTGCTCGACATAAATTTTGCGTTCGGGCTTATTGTTGAAAGAGAGAATTGACTCTTGTACATGGAGGTGAAGCACATAAAGAGAGTGTACAGCAAGAGACGGTCATTACAGTAGTTGAATTCCTACTGTATTTGTTTTGATGTTTTGTTCTGGTTATACTTTTGTAACATGATGTTTTGTATTCACCAACCTGGATTGTGGTGCTCCACCCTAAACCAGAGGTCTCGGGTTCGAGCTCGGGGTATGGAGAAAATTCTGTTGGGAGTGCCACCCTCGAATGGGCCCTGCAGTGCGCGATCTGGATTTAGTTGGGGCTTCAATGTGGGTTCCGGACACCAGGTGGAAACCAAAAAAAAACATAATGTTCTGTATTGAAATCTATCCTGGCATTAAAAATTCTTCATTCAAGTGATTCCATCACGTAATTTGGGTGGGTTCTCTATATGTATCCAGAGACTTAACCCCCTCTGTAATGTTTCCTCTATTTATGAAATTTACTATGGATAAAGTGGGGGGGGGGGGGGGATAAA